GTATTTTATGCGAACGTAGTTAAATGTGAGAACACACCACATCAAAATATGCAACATACACAAAAATATATACATAAGCGTGTACACAAAGGACATTTAAGCAATTAATAATTTATGTAATATGGAAGGTATTTATGCATAACACTAGTATTGAACATTCTCTATACGTGTTTCACACAAACACGTTAAGGTGCAAAGCGGACGTAGCACTGTAACTTACACGCGTATTTAAAATAGTGCGGAACCGATGGGCAAATTCATTATCCAGATAAATACACCAATTTCTAATAAAATTATTAAACTCAAATTTTAATTATTTTTTTATTATTAAACTATTAAAATTGACATACGAGTGTTTCGAGATACGAGCCGCCAAAAAAGCAATTCGTTGTTTCAACATACGAGCAAAATTCGAGATTTCAGCTTTGAACGAGTGAGAGTTTTCTAGAACAATGTCAATAGCTATGTGAAAAATTGTATCGTCAGTTGTAATCATAGATGAACAAGTATAAATTATATGGTTGTAACAATAATTTTCCTACCATAGAAATATTTTGGTTGATTTACGATAGTAAATTATTTTATAGTTAGTGATTTCAATTATATATTAATATTAATTATGTAGTAACAATTTACCCATGCGAATATGTCGGGGGTTATTTTAACGTTTGAAATTTCAACTGTACATTTCAATGTATTTATATGAAAAAAATTGTTTCGAGATACAAGCGATTCGACATACGAGCGTGATAACGTATGTCGGATACCACTGTACTTCTAGTTAAATTAATATGTTTACGCAAACCTAAATAATTTGCACGAAGAAACATAATTGTGTCTCACGATAGAGGAAATATAACTAACAAGTCAGTTTTGCAATCATAAAATTTATTATTAAACTTTCGAAATTTATAATAAAATGATTTATGGAAGCATTACAAAAATCGTAACGTATGAAAATAATAGTAAAGTGCTCCGACAATTTTGGTACATAAAAACTGCACGACTTTGATCACGAGTTGAAAATTTTGTAAAATTACGATACAATTTAGTATGATAGATGATATATCACTCAAATTGTCCACGATGCCGACCCTGGGAGACCCGACTAATCTGCGTATGTAGATGCAAGTGATATATATGCATGTATACATTTACATGTGTTACAATGTAAGTGCGCACGGCGCGTGTGCACAATCCCACCGCTAATAATGAATGATCGTACAAATAGTATTACCTACGTGGTAATATAAATATAACATGCCACGTGTTGCTGTTGGAGTAATAACAAACGCGGATATCACGCTATTGATTATATCTAATAGTTTGAAAGCAATAATATGAAAACATAGTTATTTCATGGATGATTTGGCAAGGGATCATAATCATTTCGACTACTACATATATGAAGAGATCTTAATATATAGCCCCAATTCCCAATGTAAAAATATTAGAATCATTATGATGATACAGCATTTAAGAGCTTCGAGATAAATTAACATACATGTTTGAAAATAATAACGCTTGCTAGTCATTAACTATTAGCAATAGGAAAACTGGGTACGGTTGTGCCACTTTTTTTGATCTGCCATAATTTTGTTAATTTACCAGTTCGCTGCGAGAAAAGTAAATTAAATAATAATTTGAACATTTAGAACATTAGAGTCTACGTGAAAATACTGAAATACCGTCCTTAAATGCGATGGATTTATCGTAAAAAAAATCATACAAGAAATTGGCATAAACACCTCCCCAAGGAATTGGTATAAACACCGAAATGGTTTATAACGACTTTTATTAACACAACACAATTATTTAAATAACCCTTATAAATATTTTTTTTATTCTCTATTTTATTTATAACTGTCCAGTTAAGGACATTCAATAAATTGAAGAATTTACAATTGTCAGCCGTAAAGAGACATTGTATACTAAATGGACATATTGAGAAAACAACTCAATATATAGTTGTTTTCCCATTCGTTATAATATAAACAATATTTTATTGATAATGATATAATCCTAACTATTTACTTATAAATATTTTCGTATAAATAATGACTAATAATAAGTTAGTTCAATATTTATCAGGAAAATTGATGACTTAAATCTAGTGACGCTTTTCTTTTCAACCTAGGTCGATAGTTCTACTATTAAGAGTTTGCTAGTGAATTTGGGTGACTGATGGAGCCTGTTTCTATATTTATGTGCTGTTTTTGTTATTTCATCTTTTTTTCAACGTAGGTGTATTCGTGTCGAGATGAATTAGCCAGTTCGGGATATATTTTCTAAGACAATTTTCAAAAATTTATTCTGACATTTCTGTATTATTTCTATATTAGTCTTATGAGCACAATTGTAGTCCATAGCACCAAATTGGTTTGAATAAAGTTTTATATAAAAGTAGCTTATTGTATGAGTTTAATTTTGATTTAGTCCCTAGTCGCCTCTTTTCTATCGAGGTATATGCCGAGATATTTCACATGGTTTTCTTGAGGTACTTGAGTGTATCCTATTCTCACTGGTGAGCAGGTATCTGTTCTAAGCGTAAATGTCACATGTACTCACTTTAAACTATTAATTTCAAATCTCCAGGTTTTAATAAATTTTAATTAATTTAAATATAATATAAAAATAAATAACAAAACATAAGTTTTTAAACAAAGTTAACAAAAAATCTTAGTGAAATCTTTTTTTGTATTGAATTTTCCTTTCCCTTTCTCTATCTTAATTAATTTACTTTTTTCTTTATCTGTCTAATCTTCACCCGAAAAGGTTAAAGCCCACAACCACATGTCACAACCGTACACACATTTTTGAAAACAAATCATCGTTATGACTGATTATGAGCCAAAATCATCTACAGCAGTTCAATTAATATCAATTAAAGACGATCTTGTTATAACAAAATTTATTAATACTGTACTGCCTAATGGATAAAAACGACTAATATATTTTGTTACAAACTACTTAGCCAATCACATTATTCTTATTCAAAAATGTGAAACAGAATAACAAATCGCTTGAAATGTTTATTGCACATCCTATAAGAAAACATTTCCAACGTCAGTCGCATGTGTGCCGCAAAGAACGCAAATTGATAAAACAAAAGCATATTTTAATAACGAAAGTGCGGAAGAAGGCAGAATTGAGCACGGCATGTCAAAGACCCTATATCGCGGTAGTGCTAACGAGCCGTCGAGCCGTCGAGCCGAACCGCCCAGACACTAGTGGATATTTTTCATCGCACCGTCAAGCTTCATTTCCTCCCTCTTACATCCGGCGATGAGCTAATTGAGCCATCATTAGCATTGGAGAGGTGTGACAGAAAAGCTCCGATCTCGTTAGATTTAATTGAGGTTCATGTGACGCGTGCGACTGAACCGCGGCGTCCGCGACCAAGCCACGCCACGCCATGCCATGCCGTCCGTCCGACAGCGATTAATTCGACACATCGCCTCACCGAGAGCGAGTGGACAATCGCGAGAAATTTCGATACACGCGAGACTTTTTTTTAAATACCTGAATTAATAAACAATTTTGTAATTGTTTGTGTTTGTAATTGTTTCTGTATTCGATTATAATTTAATTAGACGCATGTATGACCAAGCCTAAAATTTACTTAATTGAAAAGAATGTAAACAATAATGCTTATCGATTATCGTGTTTTTAATTATAAATGCGATAGAAATTGGCAATAAAGAATTTCTAGTAGCAATCGAGGTATAAATGTTTTTATTATAAACAACCCAAATGTGGAAATCTTTAATTACATAAAAAGAAACATTTTTGTTGAATTTTTCTAGTAATGCGTATTTTATTATAATTTATGTATCATACAGAATTCAAGTTGGCCTCTATAGTGGTATTTCTAAACATTTCCAAAAAATTATTTGATAAAATAGTTCCTACCGGCAGATAGTGTTACGTTACAAATTATTTAATGGCTATATTGCAATACTATTATTATGTGCTAGTTTTTGCTCTAAACAATTAGTATCCAATGATTATAACGTAGAACTGCGTGGAAACACATGGATTGGTTTAAAATCTTTACATACTCTTTTTTACTTGATGTCACGCTCTTCAAAAATTTCTTCATATATTTCAACATCAAATTTAACTACTTTGTTGACTTAGAATTTAAGAAAAAATATATATAGTTAATTTGGAATTAAATAGAATTGGATTTGTTAAGTAGGATTTAAATAAAAATTAAGTAAGAATAGAAATTACAGAATTCGAAAAGCTGAGCTGTATTAGGAGTAAGAAGAAAAAAATATCAAAAAAAAAGAGAAGTTGAATACAATTAGAAAGAATGAAGAAGACAAATTGAAGAAGAAAAATTAAGATTTAAAATGAATTTTATATAAAAAAAAATAGTATAGAATGTATATAAATAAAATATTGCGGGCGGATAAATACTCACAATCAGAATAAGCGAGACCAAATAAGAACAAACTACTGTGTGTGTATAAAATTTTATGAAAAGATAAAAATGAAAAGAAATTTTTCATGCATTGAATATGTTTGTTCACAGCGCAAAACATGTCAGAGCAGCAATTAATGCAAAGCACATATTATCAAAATAAATAAATATATTACTTAAATTATATAAAAAGACCTACCTTTTAATATCATTTTTTATTAGATTTAATGTTCTAAACATGAAATCTGAACGAGTGTATCTAACCTTGCAGTAATAATGCATTAAGTATCTGCATATTGAATTTTTATTTCAAATGTATACCAATAAAATTTTATGACTTCTATAACTTCATAAACATTATACATTTTTGATATACGAACAAAAACGCAATAAAAAAATTCTAAATTTATTTTTAGTTATGCATGTTATATACTTGGAATAGTGAAACGAAATTACTAAACGAAGGCGATATTTGACCAACGTACAATGTAGATAAGTTTATGAGTAAAATGCTACATAAAGGTTCTTCAAAGGTAATTTACAAGTGTGTACAATTAAACCATTTCTACTTTGAAAAAATATAACATTCGGCACAACAATCTCCAAACTGGACCATAAATTTAAAATAATTAAATTAAATCTAACTTACGATTGTATGATGGAATTCATATTTTGGGCAATGTTAGGATCGTCCGAAAGCATCCATAATTCCCCGGCGCCGGTAACTGCGGAACGACCAACTTCCATATAGAAGAAAGATTCCAGAGCTCCGGTGCTGTAAATATTCAAGAAAAAAGTTACAGAAATGGGATATTAATTTCTCATAATATATGCAAGAATTCCAATTAAGAGATTAGTAACAAAGTTTAAAATTAATTTCAAACTAATCTTCAAATCTTGTCTGGCTTTATGGCTGCAATGGTAATGAATACGAATAAAACATAATTGCATATTAATGTAATGAATATATCAATATTAATAGATTGATATACTAAATAAAATAATACTACTAATTCAATTTAGAAATAATGCATTAAAAATATTCAAATATTCAAATGATATAACAATTGTTAGATTTTTTCTTAGATATCTTTTTCAATACTAAATTAAATACAATTGTTTTTTCTCTTGAGGCGAATTTCAAATTTACAAAATTAGGCAAAAAATTAGAACAATTGATGAATCTCTATAAACATCAATTGAAATGTTACTAAAAAAACTATTAAAAAGAAAAAAACAATCCTTCAATCTCTTCGGCCTTCATTCGGTGCAATATTAAGCAATTTAGCCATTTTTAAAGTGAGATAACAGTTTTCGCGTAATGGTCTGTTTAATGACGTACGCTACGAATAGAATATTGAGATCAAATATTATGGATGATTTTTAATATTATGGATGATAAATAAACCATCATCATGCATCAGTAAATTGAATAAAGCCCACAATTACAAAAACTGCTAATTTTTATTTATTTTTTTTTTAATTTTTTTTTATTTTACTTTTTTTCTGTATACTTGTACATTCATATATAAATTATAAAAAAAAATAATAAAAAAAAGATTGCCTTTTCAAATTATGGCCTAAATTAAAATGGACTGCTAGACAGGCAGTCTAAGTTTCTAATTTCCAAATCATACAATAATAACTGCATTTTAACACAGATGCTAAAATGTGTTTACTTATATGAAAAATGAATGCATTTATTGATATGCTAAACTATCATTATGATTTTTTTTATGAAAATTAAATTAGAGAGATTATAAGTATCAATAATTATTAAGTTACGTTAGAAATCCGCCTATGCAATCCTACAAAACGTTGAACAAAAATAATTACATTAAAGCAATACTTTCAGCGTGGAAATCCAGTGTGTAAAGGAGTATCATTTTTATCCAGTATGTAAATATATTAATTAATTTCACAATAAATTCAAATAAACTAACAAACCTTTTGATGTATATCAGTGGAAACTCGATGAGTTCCTCAGGTTGCGGTTGTATAGATTGGCTTGAAGCCCTATGTTGGAGCGGCGGGTGTTGATTGGTGGCAGTTTCATTGAAGGCAGCATTTGTGTTTGTGGTGGAATTGCTGTTACTACCACCTCCTATGCGAACGAGTGACAACGTGTTATCATTGAGGCATAGGTGATACCGACCCGAAATGTTTCGACTTGCTCCTAAACCTCTCTTCTTCACGATCACTTGCCAAACATGTTCTGAAAAAATACAGTAAAATATTATTTTGTTATACTTAATGTATTTTCAATAGAAAAATTTATTTAATAACTAATACTTTATCTAATAACTGAAGATTTCATACATTGAATAAATCCGTTAAACTATTAGAAGTATTTCCTGCTTTATTTTTTTTAAATTTATTTTTGAGTTACAATTATTTCTGCCATAAAATGCGATTCTATATTTTATCTTTATAACTTAGATATGACACTCAATTATATTTATTAAAACTAGTGGGGTGTATGGCATCGTGCCTTAAGGCAAATTGCTGGAACTTCCCGTACCGTAACGAAATGTTCGAGGAATACTGAATGTTTTCAAATAGATTATTATAAATATTGTAACACATTGCTTAATATTTATAAGAATTATATAAACTGAATTGCAAAGTTAAAATTATTTGATTAAAGAGTTAGAACTTTAGTTAGAATTAAAAATAAAATCTGAATTATTTTCGATATACAAAAAAAAACTAAAAAAAATATATATATACAGTTTTTTTTTCCAAAATCAATTATTTTGTTAAAACAAGCTGAAAGTTCTTTGAATCATTCAAATCGGACGCTTAGTTCTTTCAAAAACTGCCATTTTTTGCACATTTAGCTATGTATCTCCGAAACCGCTCGACCTGCCTTTGCCAAAAACTAATAATCACTTCTCCCAATCATTACTAATTGAATGTTTTTTAGATCATTCAAATCGGATGCTCCGTTCACTCAAAAACTCTATTTTTATTTTATGCACATTTGCTCCGTATTTCCTTAACGACTGGACCTGCCTTTGCCAAAAACTAATCAGCTCATCTCCCTATCAATAGGAATCGAATGTTTTTTTTAACCATTGAAATCGGTTGATCCGTGCGCCCGAAAACGTGACTGGAAATTTGTATCCATATATACATACACACACACACACACACATCCATTTTTTCTGAGGTATGCCAAAATGTTCAAAAACCTTCAAAACGTCGAGAAATGTAAAAATTTTCAATTTCGATTTTCGGCCCATTACAATAACTTACCCTACGGGAAGTTAAAAATACTACTGCAGTACCAGTGTAAAGTAATCTCAAATAAAAATTAGCAAAATTAAAGAAAAATATGAAACATAATTTACAGTTTCAGTAAATCTAAAGTTCTTCTATAAATAAATTTAACTTGAAATACAAAGTTGAATAACAATGATAATTTAGAAAAAATAGAATAAAATATCATAAATAAATGTAATATTAGCAATTTTGCAAAAATAAATTGCTTAAAAGGATGAATATCTAAAAATAAAACAAACATTGCTTAAAACTAACATCCTCAACTTTATTGGCCAAAAATTAGATTTTTTCCGCTGATTAGAAATTTAATAAACACAAATATAAATTTTCATTTTGCTAAGTCGAATACTTTAAATATATTACATTATCTGTTCATTAATAGACAAATTACGTTATTGAGTACCTTATTAAGTTTCTTGGCGAGATAAAAACCGGAAGAAAAAGGCGTGGTTTATCTAATTTGCTTGTTTATGGAAATTGTAAACATGGAGGAGAAGTACGGACAAAATGACATGATGTTTAGTTTTTCAATTTTATTTATTTATTTAATGATATTATAGCCACTCTCAAAGTTTTTCTCATCTTAGATTCATCGACTACTAGCAGCATATCCTTTTAACTATAAAAACATATTTATTAAGAAAAACGTGCTAACTTGTAATTACGAAAACTATTTTGTCCATATAGTACGGACAAAATGATACAAAATAGTACATGATCAGATACTATTTTGTAAGAAGACAGTTGACAAATAAGTCGTTTGGTCTACTTTGGGACATCGACACATAATACATGAGTGCATAGGAAACAAATTCATACATCGTAACTAATTTTTGCCGGGCTCAGAAAGTAAAAAGAGGTATTTGCAATAAATGCAAGGCTCTTCTCTTTATCGGTGGATTTTTTAATCTGTTCTTAGAAGTAGTTAGAGTAAAACTTAAAAGCAGACCACCTTTGATAGGTTTAAATCTACTTTTTTGTTATAAAAAATATTCCATTTTATAAAGATACAAAATAAAATTGATTATGATTATTCAGTAATTAATAAAGAATTTAATGTGCAATAATATTACTGTTTCACTGTGTTGACGTAAAATAATAAAAGTCAGTCCCATTCTCCCCTACATCTCTGAATACATGACAAATTGAAGTATTTTCTCCTAATTATATTATCATATTTCACATTACATAGAGTTATTCATGTACGCCAATCTTAAAAGTTTTGTGCTTCAAAATCAAGCAAAACGACACAGAATATAATTATTACTGTTATAACAGACGTTTCTGTAATATTGTTTAGGGGCCATTCACGTCAAATGTAAGGCGTGCAAAGTCCGCAATATCTGCGGACATATGCGCCAAGAATAAACAGCAACTCGTTCGCATTATGTTAATTCGAATGTGCACTTAGGAAAAGTTTATTTTAATTCGGTTATGAGACGTGTCGTTTTAGAGACGCGCCAGTGATTCAAATGGTCCGTAGTCGCCAGTTCATCACAGTAACCCTATCTGTCAGTTGAGTTGCGATGAATGCAATGGCTTGTATGTTCGCGTCCTCCAGAAACTCATCTGTCTACCTGCCAGATAATCTACTTTCTGAATCCATTTAGCTCATAAAATTGAAATTTATTGAATCATGAAAACAATTTACCCTAACAGTTTTCCTAAAAAATACATTTAAATACAGTACTTTCTTTTGTGACAGTCGCTTTTTCACTAAACAATGAAGGTGTGAAAGCTCTATTCGCCAATTAAAAATCCACAAAGCCTGTGATTAAATTTTATTGAAATTTCAAAAGATATTATATTGCCCAATTAATAAATATTATACTCAAAGTATGCATAAAAAAGTAATAACGCCGGGCTCAGAACTGGAAAAAATGGACCTGCTTTTAGAATTAGTTAGGGTAGAAGTTAAAAGCCAATCACCACATTCGACTGATTTCAATTTTTTCTTAGCCTCGAATGAACTACTCTGTAGTACCTGGCAGATAATACTATGTCATTTTGTCATTTGTATAAGCATGTTATTTTGTCCTATTCTAGCAAACACTTTATTATTGCAATAAAATTGATTAACATCACTAGTGCTGGAATTAGTTAATTGAAAGTCCAATAGAAATAATTACAAATAACAATAAATAAGTCCCCAAAAACATAAGTAAATCACCCTCAAATTAAATTTTTGAGCAATACATTTTTGAACGTTTGATGCGAGAAGACTGTGACAATGACGCTCAACATCTGACAAGATTGTGAATATGAAATTCTTAACGTCATTTTATCTTTATTTCCCTTACTAGAAAAATTTTTCCTATATAAAAATATGTTTATTTAGCCAAGTAATATATATTTGCGTTCTTGTAAACACAACTCACTGACATGAACTGAAAGGTTGTCGACCGCTGATTTGGCGTATTCCTGACGTAGAGATTCAAATATCATTGAGTCATATAGGAGACAATCCACGAGAGAAACTTGTACAAGAAGTAGGTATCGAGTGACGTGTTCGGTAATGTACAGTGAAATATATACAACAAGGATCTATTTTCAAATGACGTGGGCGAGGCCCTCGAAGGAAAATTCATTGCGGTTTGCTGAAGAGGAAATTCGACAAACGATTGTAAACGCCTATATAATATAATGGAACTAGTGGTACATAGCACTGCGCCATGAGGTAAACTGTTGGACTTGGAACTTCCAGATTTATGAGCAAGTATTGGATAAACAAAAAAATTAAACGAATTTAAATATAAATTTTAAACAAAACAGTAAAGTTTGATATGTATATAAAATGTTTGCTATTTTTTAAATATTTGAAAACATAAAAATAAAAAAAAATTTTTTTCGTTTGTCACGGAATCCTTAGTTAAAAATTCTACAAAACAATAATTTATTTTTCAATTTCCCAATAAAATTCTAAAATTCCACAAGTTATGTTAAAAAGTTTGTTTTTGTTAGAGTTGATCTTAACTTAAATCTTTAACATGATCTTGAATCTTACAAGTTTTTTTTTGTTTATGCTCATATGTTACGGAAGCCAGAACTCTATGTATCATAAATACTGCATTTTCACACTTATTCCTATTAGACCATCCATTCGGTTCAGCCGTTCTCGCCAAATTGAATAAGTCAATCACACACATATTACATACACAAGTACTTAACATAAATAAATGAATGATCTTTTTTCTAAGATAAATAAATAAATGATCAGTAGTTCTTGAAGCGCAAATTAAAAAAAAACATTTTAGATTTTTTTCGAGATCACACTACGGAAAGTAGATAATAATAGCGAAGATTTTCAGTTCCACGACTATTATACACTTGATTATAAACGCTAATATTAAAATTCTGATTAATTTATCAAGATATGGTACAAGAATTTCTGCACCCGTGTTAGGTTTCACTCTCTTCAGCACACACAAATAATGAAGGGCAGATGGCGTAATATCAAAATGTTTAGGATAAACGTTAATCGTATAGTAAATACATGATTTTATGCGGCAATTTATTCTGTAAATTAAGTAAATTTAGTAAAGACGTTACCATTTCGTTCGTCAGAAAATTGTTTGGTAGTAATTCTGATCGGCTAAATCCATTGATTGGGCTATGAACTCACAGTAAACTAATAACATTTTTTTCTTATGTGTAATCAAATATTTATTTAAAAAAATTCTTTTTCTTCAAAACTGAATCCTTCTTCTAATTATAAGGTATTAATGAAATTATACAATACTTTCCTGCCCCACTAGATGTTCATGTTACAGAGCTAAAAAATTAAATTTTATTGAACAAAAAAATAAGAATAAAATTAAAAAAAATATGCAGTAAGGGAGACTGCGTGCGGTTGTGCAAGGGTACGGTAGTGGCAGCCTGACAGTCGTCATAACAGATAAACTATACTCATTTTGTAATAGGGTCCAAAGGGAGAAAGATGAAGTATATTTGTTCAAACAAATTTCCATTACTACATTGAGTCAGCGCCCAACATCAAACGATCTACTATATACTGGTGTGTGATTGTCTACTATAACCTATAGATTTAAACAAGATATTTGAAAAAAAAAAGAACTAGATCTGGAGCAAAAACTACATCAGGTATATATAATTGATACCATCTAACTTTAACAGAACTAGACGTTAGTTGGAAAATAGATAGATAATGGAATTAATTGAGAAGTTTAATTTGATAAATATTTGAAAATTAGTGGCAAAAATATATGCCTGATAGTGCAGTGGCAATCCACATGTTTGATTTAAATAGTATATCGAGCAGCATCAGAGCTTCCCATTTGCTTTACAACCCCGCACCTTTGGCTTCCCTTTGAACATTGCAAGATTTTGAATCATATCATGTGTAAAATAATTATTTTGATGCTTATAACAGCGTTAAAACTCTTGGAAGGATGGAAGACTAAAGAGCCGACCCGTGATTGATTATGGCTGCAAGACAACACATTAAACAGCATCTCTTACGTCAGCGAAAAAGCAGCTGCGTCAGCATGATCAACGCGTACTGAATGTGACAAATGCACTCTCATGTTATCACCGCGCCACAATCGATGCATGCATGCATTACGCGGTAAATGTCACATTTCAAAAGCTCGTTATGTCGTTGTTTTGCTAGCACGCTTATTTTTTAAATGATTTTTTTCCATTGTAAAAATAGATTTTTCGTCATCTTAAAAATATATAAAAAACTATAATAAGAACTCGCGTTTTGTTGATTTAACATTTGTTTGATTACTCAATTTTTTAGACGCATTACTTATAATTAGTGATATATTTACATATCCCATTTATTTCAAGATCGCAAAATTACTATATATATATAGTATATATTTTTACATATATACAGATGTATTATAGAGGTATTTCTCTATAGCTTTTCAGATGAAATGGACCGTGAATTTCGATCACTTTCAATCACAATTAACGCGCACAGATTCCCACACGACAGACAGCAAACACTTTCTTAGCAATCAGTAAAATTTGTATCTATAAGAAAACCTTTTTCTATAAAATTGTTATTAATAATAGAAATTTAATCATTATTATTTAGTAACCGCAGGATGTAGGGTAGAGTGTTGCTTAAAGGTCCACCACCGATATCTCAAAAACAAATAAAGTTAAGAATTTTTTAACAACAATATTTGAAAGAAGCGGAAAAAAGTCAATGTTTAAAAATCCATAACAAAAGTATTATCTTTCGTTGTTAGTTTTTTTTATCATTATGAGCACTGTTGTTTATTTTACGAGATCTTATATACTTTTTAAGTACACGATATTTAGTTGTTTTATAATATATATTATTAGTTGTTCTTTTTATTGTTAATTTTAAGTTAGATTCAACAGTTTTTTCATATATCCTCTATAACAGCTTACACGAGAGTAGGGTAAAAACGACCAACTGAACCTTTACCCTGGCAAAAAGTAAACAATAAAAAATAGTAAATAAAAAAGTAAATTAAGTTAGAAAAGCAATTGTACAAGAGATAAATTAACTAAATAGTTAATCCAACTCTGCTGATGAATATTTCTGTCGAAATATCAGATCATTGTTATATGGGTGTAATCTTTGCATTAGTTGAATAATGTAGCTATTATTTCGTAAAATCCCTTTAAAATTAAAAATAAAGCATTGGACCTGTTTGCCCTTGGTCGTCACTCCCATGGGGTAAAAAAAAGGACCAGATGATTTAAAAAAAAAACAGCAAAAAATGCATGTTTACAATGATGAATTAGCCGGGAGATTTACTGAACATAGTCACATAGTTTGATATGTGTTATTTGTTGTGATATAAAAATCAAATATAATTGCTCAAAGTTAAATTCAACCTTTGTGCTCCTGCCCTATCCTGTAATTATTTCCTGCCCTATATTGAAGATACAAATTAATATTAAAAACTGGACCACATTCAAACGCACGTTTACATTAATAGTTAATTATTTAAATGAGGTTAAAGTTGCTGATTACAGCTTAAATAATCTGGAGCATTTAGACTCATTGGAAGTATTCTCATGAAAGGTGAACAAAAATATATTTAGGGTAGTATTTCATTGAAATATATGAAAAAAAATGGAAATAGGATTGTAATAAATATTTTGTTTCAACAACACAAACACCTTTGTCTGACAAGTTGAAAACAAACAAAAATGTAAGTCATTGAAATTTTAAATGCACACCTTTTTTCAGTACTATTCTTTATAGAAACGCATATAATCTTATGAAAAAGTTACCTTTGATACTAATTTAGTTAAAACTAACACATCACCCACAAGAAACAGGCAAGTATTCAATTCACAAATGAGACATCTCATCTTATTCCTTTAAAAACCTCGGCATGATATACTTTTCATTCGATTCGTTCGTACGCATTGAATTTTCCATAGAGCCATGCTAATTGATGAAATATTATATAATATGTCAGGAGATCTGTTTACAATGCGTGGACTTATGTGATTAACGTGCTCTTCGCTTGGAACAAATGTGTAATGGAATATTACCGAGCCGGAACGGACACATGAAAATATTGTTTGGACAATAAATTAAGTCCATAGCTGATATGCAGGAGGGGGTGAGATTAAAACAAAAAACAAGAAAACAACCCGAAAACGAACGGCGCAAATAGATTCTCTCAGAAATCTGAAATTATCTGACTTAAACTCCTTCACTGAGGGTTGTGGAATGAACAAATGCCTTATGAATAACTTTATTCTGTGAAAATAAAATGGCCTGCTGACCTGAACAAGTGATCACTGTCTGACTTTCTTCACTTAGGATTAAGGGGGGAAGTCCATATAGACGCATGAAAATAGGTCATATTTTAAAAATATTTTTAAACGTGATGGAATAATTTTATTGTTTTTAAACTTTGACATAACTTTATTTAACCCTTTTAGAATACAAAAAAATATTTAAAAAAAAAAAATTATTTCAAAATGGCGGCTCAGCATAACTTTTTGTGGACTGCCTCTGGCGCGAGGTCCAAAACTGCTGCATTTCTCACTCATCAACCGTCGATCTGAAAAAAAAATTTTTTTAATGATTTCTTTTGAGAACATATCAATGGGAAGGATAAACCTATAAAATTGAAAAAAAAGTATAAATGTCAATGAAAAACAAGCCTTTGAAAAAAAAATCTGAATTTTTGGCTATTTTTTTGACATTTTGGGCTCTAGAAAATACTTTATAAACGCGAAAGATCTAAGGATTTAGGTTTATCCTTCCGATAATAATATAGAGAAAGGCCTCACCCAATTTCAGACAAATCGATACATAACTTTTTGAGCTACAACTGCAGCAGTTTTTGAAAACACAGTTTTGAGATAATCGCGTTTAAAGATTTAGTAAAGGAAAATGACCAGTATTAGTTACTTACCGATTAATCTGCAATATCAGGTCCATACAATAGTCCTTCCTTATCTTCAAAAAGCTGATTATCTGTAAGTTGTTGTTGTTTGTGAGCTGTACCAGCATCTTTTATTTGTGAAAGGCTGCTACGATCCTAACAAGTTATTCGCGCCTCATCAGTATTATCAGCATATGCTTTAGCATAAGTACCAACAGTTAAATTCAGAAGGTTCATTATTCTTAATATTGAACTAAAACCTTCAATAAATATCCTAGCTGCAATATATGGTGAAATTTCAACTACCCTTAGTCCACAATGTGGGTGTTTTGGTGATAATCCCACTATAGTCGCCAAACTGCCGCGTTGAAACTTTCATTCGCGTTCTGCGTATGATCACCAAGGCATCGTTCAAGTAAATCATCTTTGGACAAATCTTCATAAATTGGTGAAAGATGATGTTTCATTTCTTCACCAAGTAATGGAGCTAAATCTACGTCTAGATGATCTTGACCACTGGCACTTTCATTATGACTTGTACTGGCGTCAATTTTTTCACCTGCTTTATCAGTAAACTGATTGCCCTGATAACGTCTTTTTTAGTGTTATTTTGTGCAATATTACTTCATTACTTCGCTTACCTTTTAGATAATTCGGCATTTTTACGTATTGAAATGAACTGAACACTACGAATTTTCCAGCTAAACTAACTATATTTCTCGACTAACTTTTGTTCGCATACCAATATTACACATGTACTAAGGTACATAGAAGTCTTCCAGTTGTAGGCCAAAAGAAGTATTTCTAGTTATTATAATGAAAGAGACCTTTTTCACTCGAAATTTAACAATACGCTTGATCGATTGACAATGCGCACTCCGGCCCGCCCCGTTATGTTAGCTATAACTTTGTTAATATAAGAGATTTTTTTTTGTCGACTCGTTAATATACGCTCAACATACTATACTTGCAGATTATCGAAAAAAAAAATTTCAATTTTTTGAAAATGTTATATGGACTTCCCCCCTTAAATCAATGAAGGGATCCTAACGTACTTATTTAACGTATCTTTATTATTATTGTTTATTTTAATTACTTTATTTAATTTTTATTTTGTGTATTGACGTTCACACATTAGCTTATAGGATTTGTATTCTGATTGCTAATTATAAATAAAATATAAAATATAAAATAATTATATAAAAATAAAAGTAAAAAGTAAAGTAATTCAGTGAAAATAATTGACACAAATATTTGCCTGTGAAGTAAATAATAAATCTAAAGATATACGAAGGTGAGGTAAAATATTGAGCTCTATATACAATCTATTAAGTTTCAAATAAGAGAGGGCAGGATCCAATTTGACTTATATTGCAATTATATTGTAAAAATCAAACCAATTATATCACAACAAATAACACATATCAAACAAACATCTATCTTACGATGTTCAGTAAAACTCCCAGCTTAAATTAATTATTGTAGAAATATTTTTTTTGCTGTTTTTCAAAAAATTGGCAGGGGATAAACATACTCCATGTTTTATTTTTAATTTGAAAGGGATTTTTCAAAATAATAGCTACATTATTCAACCATACAGAGATAGCACTGCATATATCCCTGATCTGGTATTTCGTCAGAAATATTCATAAACAGTGTTAGAATAACTATTTATTTAATTTATCTCTTGTAAAATTGCTTGTTTAACTCAATTTACTCTTTTTTTACTATTTTGTAATGCTTGCCATAGTGTATATTCAGTTGGTCCTTTTTACCTCACACACGTGTAAGCTTTCAAAGAGGTTATGTAAAAAACTGACTTAAAACTGAATCTAAATTTTTAACAATACGAAAGTTCAAAGATAGTTGTTTTTCTCAACTTTACTTGTTTTTGAGATATCAGTGGTGGACCTTTTTATCCGCGGAAATTTGAGCCCCGTCCTACCGCATGTTGATTTATATGATTTTTGATAATTAAGCAGAATATTTCTTTCTTTTTGTTTAAGAAACATTGTAAGGATTGGTGCACCATAATATCTATCAAAAAATATTATTTTAAATCATTTCTAGTACTTTTGTTTTTCTCAACTTTACTTGTTTTTGAGATACCAGTGGTGGACCTTTTTACCCAAGGAAATTTGAGCTATAATATATTATTTTAAATCATTTCTAGTATTTTTGAACGCTTAGATAGTAGCTTCTATTTATTCATAAATAGTTCAAAAATGACTATGACAAAAAAGAGCAATGGTAGTATTAAGAAAAATAATTAACATTAGATTTTGTAACATACTATAAACTATAAAATTCTTACTCTTGTCATGCATATTGACGCTACAATAAGAATAATTAAAATTAATTGAATACTAATTAAGTATGCACTTTCACTGACATAAAATATCAATCAACGAAAACCTAAAATACCAAAGTCTGCATTTTTATACGAAGAAGTTATTAGCATAAACAAAATATTATAATAAATATGATTATTCTCTTATTATTAGATCTGTAATAACATCATGTCGTCGAGGCCTTTGATAGCACTTCATACAAGTTAAGTTAGGTACTCCAGTACTATTTCTAGTATTATAATAACCAGCACAATAGCTTATAGAATTTTTTATAGAACTTATTTTCTGATTGCTTTTTAATTGTTAGAGAAAAAAAGTTACGTATTGGATAAATAACGTGACCTTCAATGCAAAAGTTTATGTATCACAAAATCTGTGTGTTTACTTCAAATGTGCAAATAGCTCGGTTATACAATAATGTAATATATGTGCAAAGTCGCGTACTCTACAATACGAGACAATTTAAACAGAATAACGGGCATTGTTTTCAGAAAAGCTTCTACTGCATCCATAGGTATGTGGAGAATACGGGATTTGCGATATTAATCCTTCCTGAGAACATACGCTTGCTTTAAAATGGTAAGCTATTAAAATGGAGTTTCTGAAAAAATGATTAAATCGACAATAAAATTTCATTACAGTACCCACAAACAGATTATTCACTTTATAAAGAAAAACAATCATAAAAAACAAATAATGTACAAATTTAATAAAAAATTGCTCGAGTGTTTCCTATTTTTCTTCTACATATATTAATAACTTCAACATAAATATATTTTTCTGTATGAAGCAGAATATTGAAGCACAAATACAAAATGTTCAATAAAGCTTATGTATTTTTAATATAATTCCTTATAAAATTCAAGAGATATAATAATACTTGTTTAAAATAAATCAGTTTTTGAAGCAGCTATAATTGCAATTACCAAGATTGAATAGGTTGTTCCTTATTATTAGATCAAATACAACTGCTACTCAAAACAGATACTTAATAAAATATACTTTACTATACTGTTTATAACACAAATAATAATATTAAGTGTTCCTCTCCATCGGCAGAACTATTACCAAATAATAATGGTATTATAAATTTTAATAAAACGTTTACGTTAGCAAATAAATCATTTTCCAACATAGATTTTAATTATGTAAAAGAAATATGCAAAAAATAATTAGATTAATGGGAAGCATAATAATTCGAAAATTCGCAAATATTTATAAACTTCAATGCTTATGTATATATCAAATAGTGATTTTAATTATTATATTAATTTGATCAATATCAATGTAATGACAAAAGTGAACAACAATGTTTGTGATTATATTCTAAAGATCGAGTTTTCTGCTGACAACAGAGTAACATACTATATATATAATATAATCATCTTCAGGACGGAAAGAACAACAAAATAAAAAATCAAATAAAGTATATACGAGCAGATGAAGCGAGCTTGACGTACATATATCTAAAAGCTCCAATGTCTTTTACCTTATTGTTAGTATTACATTAATGCAACTCTATGTTTCGTCACACCTACATTAGATTCTTTCATCTGACGTGAGCTGTTTTGAAAACTAAAATATTTTCCTGCAAACTCGATATTTCCTTCGTACAAGATATTTTCTTTCCTCGAAGATTGAATTGCTGCTCACAAAAATATCAACTGCTCGATTTTCTTGTTTATGTGCTAGCAAAGGTACTTTTCTATCATGGAACTGGAACTTTGATGCACTCGAAACTGCTTATGTTTTATTTTACAATAATGGTTATTTTTATTTCTTTTGCGTATTTTCTGATAAATTTTCTCTGAGCACATCATTTTCATTTCTTTCTTCCTTGGAAAATATGATACTAGAATTTCAAGTCCTACTCATATTATAAAAACAATGTAGACGATCAATTTACAAAAGTGTATATGAGAAGGCTACAAATCCTGCTGGTACATATAAAACAACTTCAACTGAGAATATATAGAATTCAAATGCATTTTGACGTTATTAGGTTATTGCATATTCTTTTAATTGGTTCGAAATATATGTAGTGCCCATGACTACTAAACTATAAAATGCAATATTAATATTACTAATGAATATTGCATATTCATTAGTACTGAATTATAGAACTATGCAGAGTATTTTGAAAATTTTTGTGCAAAGTCTTCAAAATTGATTAAATTAAATTGAATTGATGAAATATTACGAGAATTTTAAATGTTTTCAAATAGACTATTCTAAATAATTAGTAACTTTCATTATTCGTATTTTGTAGACAAAAGCTGTTGTAGCTTATAAATTGAACTCATATTTCTCACAATTCAGTCAAGTATACAAGTGAGCTTTTGTAATTCTAGCTAAAATTATGATTATTAAATCCCAATAATTTTCAATGTTTGATTTTTTTTAAATTTTACACGAACAACACAAACATTCAAATCGGAAGCTCACTTATCTCAAAACTGTAATTTTAGCACTTTGCTCCCTACCTCCCAAACGGCTGGACCTGTTTTTACCAGAAACTAACCAGCACATCTATCCGTCAATACGATTCGAACATCTTTTGAATCATTCAAATCGGTTGATCCGTTCTTTTAAAAACGGTCATTTTTTGCACTTTTTGCCAAAGATTTCCAAAGCCACAATATCCGTCCTTTCAAAAACTAATCAGCACGTCTCCCCATCAGTAGGAATGGAATTATTTTTGAACCACTTCAATCGGTTGATCCGTACGCCCCAAATCGTCGACGAAAAATTGTATCCACACATACACACACATCCATTTTTTGTAAGGTATGCCAAAAGGTTCAGAAACCTCTGAAACGCAAAGATATGCAATATATTTTCGATATTTGGACGATCACAATAACCTACCTCACGGGAAGTTAAATATTCGTGTAAATTATTCTCACCAAATTTTAAATTTAAAACAATACTTTGCTTCAGGCAAAGTGCGAGTGAGAGTTGAATTGGTAGCAAGATTATGTCGAGCCTTCGTGGCCAAAATATATCCCTCTTTCTAATAATAGCAAGTGACAACCAAAAGTGAAATATAAATACCTTCCTAAATAATTACGCTGAGAGACAAGAGTGACACTGACACTGATAAAACAATAAGAGACAAATTAATAACCATATGTTATTTGATAAGTGAGGCACGATTGAATAAGAAAGCCGTAGCCTTTGTGCGATGTGCGTGCCCGAAAACAACGTAAGGAAACGACTCCTTGTTGATTAACGACTCCGATCAATCAAAGTCATATCAATCATCGTATCGTTCATATCACCGCAACTGAAACCTGAAAACAACAGATG